AGCAGAGATCATTTGGGAATGGAAGGGGCAGGCTAGCAGAGATCATTTGGGAATGGAAGGGGCAGGCTAGCAGAGATCATTTGGGAATGGAAGGGGCAGGCTAGCAGAGATCCTGAAGGAATTTATACCCTTCTGATTACTGTACCTAATTCATTTTTTCAGCGAGCTCCCCCCGCAAACGATCGACGAGGAGATGGAGGCCCCGGTTTGCCAGTACACCCTACACAAGGATTCTATTAACGGGCCGAATGTGCAGCGGGTGAAAGTCGGTAAGTACAAGCGATGGAAAGAGAAAAAGAGAGAGAGAGAGAGAGAGAGAGAGAGAGAGAGAGAGACAGGGATGGCCGGTTTCTGAAATGCAACACGGTTTTGGAAAGCGAAGGCCACTTCAGCCTCGCTTCTTGAGGCTAAGGAGCTGGAGCGTTAGGTTTTTGAGGGCGAAAAATTAGGGCGGGCTAGCAGGGATTCTTAAGGAAGTTAGAGAAAGGCAATGAGCTGAAAGGTGAGACAATCTAGCAGAGATCCTGCGGGGGGCTTTCCCGTTTTTTTGTGGGGGGGGGGGGGGGGGGGTTATTTGGGGAAAGTCATGAAAAACAGGCCAGGAAACGATAGAGCCAGAGAGAGAGAGCGAGTGAGAGAGAGAGAGAGAGAGAGTGAGAGCATGAGAAAGGGAGTACCCCTGAGTTCCAGCTCAGCATTAAAAGCTCAAGGACCCGGCATGCTAGCAGGGATTCCTTAGGAATTCGGACCAAATTAACTTGAATTTTCAGGAGACCCAATCTACCACGTGTGGGAGTGCCCAACCGACGCATTTGCCATGCTCATCCACTCCTGCGTCGTCTACGACGGCCAATCCGGAAATCAAGTGCCAGTTATTGATGAGAATGGGTAATTTTTGGGCGTTTCTAGGTTTAATTTTTGTTTTAAAAGGCCATTGAGGCCAAGTACCGACCCTTTATCTCTACTAGACTGCAGACAGCCTCTTGACAAGCTAAAAAAACGTTTTAATCTTGTTTTCATATCCGTAAAAATCTGGCTTTTAAGCAGAAAGCAAATGGAAAAGTAGTTATCGTATAGTTGTCGAGACCTAGTAGACCTAGTGGTCGATTCTCAAGCTTACTAGTCCCTTTAAAGAGTCATTGAACTAAAAAAACACTAAATTTTTTTTAAGCTGCTCCCTCGATCCATTCCTGATGCCCGAGTTGACCTACTCAAAGGAGTTGACCAAGACGTTTACGGTAGGTAAAAAACCAAGCTTAGGCAGAGGCTGAGGCTTGGGCTTAGGTTTAGGCTTAGGCTTACGCTTAGGCTTAGGCTTAGGCTTAGGCTTGGGCTTAGCTTCGGCTTAGGCCTAGGCTTTGGCTTAGGGTTAGGGTCAGGCTTAGACTTATGCACGGGCTTGGTTAGGCTGTGGCTTAGGTTGAGGCTTAGCTTATGCATACTCCCCTTTCAGCCCTCGTCCGCCTTCAACTTCCCGGACATCCAGCAAGTCTACTTCAACTGCAAGATCAAGCTGTGCCCACTTGGCCCCAATGAGAGCAACGATTGCAGCGGGATTACGGTAGGGAGGTCAATCTTTAACAAAATTTTTGGGTTTTTAGCCGCCTCGCTGTGGTGCGAACGCCAAGGCGAATATCATCAGCGCCGGGACGAACGCGCTGGACGACTTCAACCCGCAAAGGCGTGAGTTGGAAGGCTATAGGCTTAGGCTTAGGAGTTTAGGCTTAGGCTTAGGCTTAGGCTTAGGCTTAGGCTTAGGCTTCGTTTTTAGCTTTGAAGGGTCCGCGACACCCCGAGAATACCGTAACCCTTTCAGCCATCTCTGAAAGCAAGGAAACAGTCGACAGCTCAGAGAAGAAGACGGTAGATGAGGAACTTTCTACCGAGCATCTGATCCCCACCGCCAACTCCGCCAAGGTCAGCTGGTTTTCCGCTAAGTTCTCTGCTAGCTTAATAATAATAATTTAGTTCTCGCACTTAGGTTTACAAGTAAACACTTATTAGTGGAGGTAAGGTTGGAAGTTTGTTGAAGAAAAAAAGAAAAAAGGAAAAAAGGGGGGAGGGGGGGGGGGTTAAGGAAGCATTAAGGCGCTAAATGGACATGATTAATTAAAGAATGGATGAAATAGGTACTAATCGGGAAACCTGCTTTTTAAATATATTAGTTGGAGAACTATCGCCGAGCTTGCCTAGATGATAGTAAGAAACGCTCCGTTTTAGACGACCGTACCGGAGGCTACGCACGTACAGACTACGGTGCATGACGTGACGGATGGCAAGACCACGATCGTGTTCCAGACGACGACCTCATTGCCGCCGGTTACGACGACGCGAAGCAGTTCAACGACGACTAGGGCTCCTACGACTCAAGGTGAGAGATAAAGAGAGAGAGAGAGAGAGAGAGAGAGAGAGAGAAAGAGAGAGAAAGAGAGAGAGAGAGAGAGAGAGAGCGAGATCGCGAAAGAAAGAGAGACCAAGACTATGTCCAACTTTCAGTAATCCGAGCCGAGAAACCCTTCCCCACCCCGGCCGCCCTCAACGAGTTCTCCGCCAAAAAGTACAACGACACCGAGATCGTGGACGAGGGCAGCGGATTGGAGATCAGCTCCGAGCACGACGTGCCCACCATCAAGGTGCTGGCCGGCGACAAGAAGCCGACGGCAAAGGCCGGGCCTAGGCGTGAGATTAAGGTAGGTTTTGTTGCGAAAATTTCCCCTTAGGCTTCAACCTGGCTTAGATTTAGGCTTAGCTTAGGCTTAGGCTTAGGCTTAGGCTTAGGCTTAGGCTTAGGCTTAGGCTTCATTCAGGCTTCGCACTAGCAATTGTTTTTTTCAGAGACGGGACACACCCCCAACTGTCGACGTCGACATTGCCTCACCCGAGTTGACCGTCCTGGACCGGGATTACGGTAAGGAATTGAGGAATTCAGCCTCAAAGGTGCTTTAAAGGCAATCGGCTGTGAATTTGGCCTTAATTTTCGCTTTATTGGCTTTTAAAGCCCAATTTTCAGACCTACCGGAGCCGTTGGGCCAGCAGGGTCACCTGATGAGCACCAGCGCCCCGGCCGGCCCGCCAGCTGCTAATAATAATGTCTGCCTGCCAATGTTCTCCATCTGGGCCCTCGTGCTCTTGCTGGTAAGTGGAGAAAGAGAGAGAGAGAGAGAAAGACACACATAGAGATCGACAGAATGGGGCAATGAGCAGAGATTTTTAGAGCTTTTTAAGCCAGGCGTGCCACTTTAATTTTCACAAATTCGGGGGCAACCAGCAGAGATTCTTTGCTAGTTTTAATAGGGAGCTGGACACCTTGTTTTCACAAATTCGGTGAGGACGAGCAGAGATTCTTTGAGATCTTCAGAGGATGCTTGACAGCTCTTTTTTAAATTCAAGGGCAACGAGCAGGGATTCTTTAGGACCTCTAGAGGGATGGTGAAAATTTGTCACAAAAAAAAACCCCAGATATTCCACTAATTCGCATATTTTCAGGTGCTCTGCCTCTCCCTCCTCACCATCGCCGTGTGCCGCACCTGTGCCCGACGTGACAAGTTCATGCCGTATTAACGTTTTCCTGTTTTCCAGGATTTATTTTTTTTCTTTTTTTGTCTTTCTCTCGCCTCTCCGTTCTCTAACTTTCTCAAAAAGCTGTGCAATTCGAGCTCCCAGCGATGCAATCTTGACTTTTCAGCCCGCCAGCCTTTTTTGTAAGTTTTTCCAAGCTTTACCCCTTCCAAAAATTCCGCAAAAACGATACGGTTCCCAAAAAAGAAATACATTCCACGTTTCCCCATCTCTGCTATGATTTTTGCTTTTTTAGAGGAATCAGGAAGGCAAAAAACGTGAATTTTTGAATTTGAAAATGCAGCATTTAAGCGCCTTAAACCCTTTTTTAAAAGCTTTAAAATTTTGCATAAACTTCAAAATTAAAGCAGGATTTTCATTCAATATTTTAGCCTTAAACACGCGTTTGAAAACTTCAAAATTTTGCTCTAAAGCTAAGATCTCAACGTAATTTTAATGTACATTAATTTATTCGAAAGTTTGAGCCAAATTTACAAAGATTAATCCAATTTTTGTCCCATGATATTCATTAGATCCTGAGACGTTTCATGGGTATCTTAAACGCTTAAATTTTTCATATAAATCAAACCTAGTTGCCGAATTTAAACCACAAAATTCATCCACTTTTTAAAAATAGTATAATTTATAAAATTAGTGTCAATCGATCAGAATTTGCCTTTTTGATTCCTCTATTTTCCCCGTCCAAACTTGCCTTTTTCCAAGTTTTCCCGTTCTCATGAATTCCCCCAAAACCCACGGAGCGCCCCAAAAATCTCAAAAATTGCCCCAAAACATTCCAAAATTCCTTTTATTTTCCTTTTTTATTATATTGGGTTTTTTGTGCTAATCCTAATGCAATAATCATTAACAAATAGCGAAATTCTCAACGGATTTCGTTAATTCTGTCCCAAAAACCCCGCGAATACGAGTGCGCCGCCCCGCCCCACACCAGAATTTCGCTGCCTTAGATTTCCGTCTATATCAACGCGAAATATGAATAATTCTATGTTTTATCACGATTTGCTCCGCGTTTATCTTATTTTATCCTATGTTATATTACTTTTGGGTGTTGTGTGTGTGAGAGTAATAAAATGGTTACTTAAAAACAGCAGCAAAATACGAGCGTCGAAGAAAATCTAGCTAGAAAAATTTGTATGATATTACTGGATATATTCGTTATTTTTATATATAGAAACTATTCCCTTACTTTTTTAATAGTTTCAATGCATTTTTTCAACTTTTTTACTCGGCAAAGCCTTACACAATGAATTTCCCAACCCGCGTCGATAGGCGCGCCGCGTCGTCTACCTCCTTTTCAATGTGTCACGCATTTTGTGTAAATAAAAGATATATAGTTTTAAATAGATTTAGTTTATTTTATTGATTTGTAAGGTTGTTCTAAATCTTCCTTTTAATGTATGGAACAGACTTTAGAACCCTAAATGCTAATCCTAGCTTTTCCAGGCCGTCTCCAAATGATCAAGAAGCTGTTGTCGCCCGCGTTTGCAATACGAAGGTCCTTCCTCACATCCCCGTACCTCCAATCGACCAGCAATGAAGCGCCAGCAGCACCAACTGGGTCTCCGCCCGATTACTACACACCCGGCATCAACGTCGATTTCGAAACGGCCCTAAAAGCCCTGCAGCCGACGCCCGAGTTCCTCGCCTCCCTCGATGCTAAACGTAAAAAGCACGTGGAGAAGCTGCTGGAGGAGTTGAAGCTGTACGTCTACATGGCCAACAAGGTACCTCGAAAAATGACGCCCCGGGATTGGGAGCAGTATTCGAACGAGCTCAAGCTGCCCACGCTTCAGAAACGGGTGCAGTTTCTCGAGTTTATCGCTGTAAAACAGCGCCGCCGGTATAAAGATGAGCTGAAGGAGCAGCAGCGGAAGGAGGCGAACGTCGACAAGTACAAGCAAGCTGACGAGGCCGAGAAGCGGATTGCAGCCGGGGAATATCGGACTGGACTTGGCGGGTACACGCTGATCCAGAACCCAAATACCAAGCGAATGTCGGCAGTGATCGGGTCCAGATTCTACGCGGCCACGCGATCGGATCGCCCAATTATCGGGCTTGATTTGCAGTTTTTGCGGGATCCACAAGTTAGTCATGGGCAAATGATGCGCCAGGCCGGGATGTTTGTGGCAGAGGAGCTGGAAACAACATACCCGCTCAACATGCGGATTTTTAATAAGCCCCCGAACATCGACGACCTCCTGAAGAAGCATCTCGGCGAATTCATGTCCAGCTATCAGGACCAGAAATTTCTGCCGCCGCTCTCATCTGCGCCGCTGCTCGAGACGTTCGCAGACTGCCGGAAAATCGTCTATATCAGCAAGCATGCCCGGAAAATGCTGGAGGGGCCCTTGGACGCAGATGCTTATATCCTGCCGGTGACCCTCGATCAGCGCAAGGAGTCTATTGGTGCATTTCGCGAACTTTTGAATCAAGTGTCGAGGCGGGGAAAGCATTTGCCGCCCCTAGAGGTCGATATCCGCTTCTTCCCGCTGGAAAAGTACATGAAATTGTACGGGAGCAGATATGTGCCGATACAAAGCGCCGGCCGCATCTTCAAGGAGGTCTACACGAGCCGCGGCGATTGGAAGTCGGCCCTGTTCAACCACATCTCCAAGGTGAAATACACGGAATCGAATTCGGAGGAGCGCGGCTTTTGGTATAACCAGCAGAGCAGCTGGAAGCGGCATAACAAAGAGGAACGCGTGCAGATTGCTGACACTATCAAAGAAGCGCTGGGGCAATAGCCGTGATTATTTTATATATCTTTGTTTTCTATCTCTACCCTCGATTTGTCTATACTTTTCCTTATAGAATTCCTTCCCATGGACGTTGAGTGTTGTTTAGTGCTCTTTTTAGAAAATGTAGGCTTTAGGTATAGTATCATTAGCTTAACCTCCTTGTTATTGGCCCTCATTTGTTAATTGTTGATGATTTTCGGGTTTTCTTTCACGTTGATCCTGCTCCGAAACTTGAATTTTTGCATAAAATTATTTTCAGGAGCAATGGCAGACGAGCCCAAGCGCCAGGAGACCACTTCTGAGGATTCCGGAGCCGATGAAAGGTTGTAAATGTCTGCATTATTTATATCTTGCCTTTTTTTAGGATAGCCGAGCCAGCGTCGAAGATCAAGAAAGAAGAGGAGCAAACCTATTTAAAGGAAGAGGCGCTGAAGAAAGTCGAAGAGCAAAAGAGGTAGTTTTTATATTAGAATAAATTTTTTGGCCTTGGATGTTACTATAATTTTGTTTTAGTAATATGCCGTTATCTTTAAATTCGAAACGATTTAGAAAAAAACTTGAAAACTTAAAACTTTTTAAAAATTTGAAGTTAAATTGTTTTGTTTTAATTTAGAAATTCCTAGTGACTGCATAGAAATGATTTTCGTAATGTTTTTAGTAAAATAAAACCAGTTTATAACTAGAGATCTAAAATCTTAAAAAATTTCAATAAGCTGAAATTTGGTCTAAAGATAGATATTTTTAACAACAACTTGCAAGATTTTTGCGTTTAGTACCCGAGAACAAATTTTTCTCCCTCCCCCCCGATCATGCGAAAGAACCGATTAATCCTATTTTTTTTTACAGCACCACGTCGGCCGCCCAAGTATTCCACGACGAGGTGGAGATTGAGGATTTCGAGTTCGACGACGACGCCGGCGTCTATCATTACCCCTGCCCGTGCGGCGATCGTTTTGAGATTACGCAGGAGGCTTTAGAGGTTAGCAGCTTCATTTTTTAAGATTTTCTGTTTTTTCCAGGGTGGCGAAGACATTGCCACATGCCCCTCCTGCTCGCTGATCGTGCGCGTCATCTACGAGCCGGACATGTTCATGAAGTTCGAGACGCTCTCCATAGCGCCGGTGAAGAAGTCGGAAGTGGCTTGAGGGGCGCCGCTGAAGAATGACGATCACAATTTCACACAATCGCAATTTTCTGTTGATGATTGCCATTTTAAAAATGTTTTTTTTTTAACTTCTTTAGCGGCTATTTCATTCGACGCTTTTTTTTGAGAATTTTTAGATGTTTTTCTTGATTTTTCAACCCCACGTATAATTCGGCTAAATTTCTATTGCTTTCCCACGCCTATTCTCTTTCTACGGGTATCGAATTCTGTTGTCCTATTATCCGGTGGCCTTTTCCGAGTTTTTACTTGTTTTTCCGCGTTTTCATTCTAGCTCTCTCCCTCGCGTTGATTGTTGATAAATATTTTGCAATTTCAGGTAAGGACCTGCCTCCAGTCGAGATGGAGGCCGACGAGTATTTCCGGGCCTATGAGGCGATGAAAGAGGTGGGGGAACAAGAATCGCCGAAAAACAATAGTATTTTAGGAAGAAGAAGCCGGATGCGCCGAGCGACTGCCCCTCAAAATCAGCGACCCGTGCGGCATCACGAAAATCGTGTGGAGCTCGTTCGATTTTATGTCGGGTTGGTTTGAATTTTGGCTTAAAACTATAAGTGTTGAGTAGATTTTTAGGTTCTTTTTAAACTCGCACCTTTTTTGTAGCTTTCCGATGGTTGTTCTGCTTTAAAAATAGCGAAGCTTTATTGAGTTCATTTTCGGCCGAAAAAAAGTCTTTTTGATCAACTTCGGATGTATTTTTTAAGTTTTTTTTCGTATGAAAAACAGCAATTTTTTAATAAGCCCTTACAAAAAACTTCCGATAATGAAAAATAGATGAAAGAGACAATTCTAGGTCCTGCATTGAAATACGTGTGGGACGTCGTCCACAACGACGGCCTGCTGACGCCCGTGAATTTGAGCGGTGAAGAGGTAGGACCAAAAAATACGCTCATCACCGCCGTTTCAGTTCTCTGAAACGCATTCCCTCAACGAGTCGTCCCTCTCGGCGAATTCGGTGCAATTCGAGGATATCGACGACCCGCTGAAGGTGTGTTTGACGGGGAATGATGCAAGTTTTTGCTGGTCTTACGCTAAATGATGTTCAGCACCAACTTCTCACCACTTCGGATGAGATCCAGATTGACACCGGGTTGGACATCTACAATTCGTCGCCAATTTGTGAGTTCGGCTAGCGAATTGCAAATAGCAATTCAATTTTAGTGACATTCAAGGGCGGAATGGGCCAATTTTTGGACGACTACATGACGGATAGTCGGAGCACGGCGACGGAAGGGACGAACACGATTGCAAATACGTCTATGATTGTGGGTTCTAGGTTTCATTAAAGCTGGATGGCTTCAAAAATTATTCAATCAGGGTTCTTTCGACTTTTCGGGCATAGGAGGCCAAGTTTTTTGTTTGCAACAGATGAGATTTTCCTCGTAATGTAATGTAAACTATTTTAATACCCTGTTTAGCGACATTTAAGTATTTTTCGGTGAGTAAAAATGTGTAGAAATTGTAATTCTAATCGAAAATCGCAGATTTGGTCGTAAAATCCTTTTTTTAGGGATATCTGACGAAGCGTTGTAACTTTTTTACGTTTATTAATAGCAAAAATCGTAACTTTCTATTATAGTAGCAAAATTGTGCCTGTGCATGAGCAAAAAAAAAGTAAAAATCCAGAGATAGAACTATTTAGGAAAGCGAATCGAGCGGGATGCTCGACGAAAGTGGCTCTAGCTTCGAGCTGCGGTCCCTGGCGGCAAAAAGTCGAGGGGTGGGTTTAGGGCTAACTAAAATCAATATAGATACTTTTAAATAAATGCAAATATGCTAAAATATGAAATAGATCATTACCAAGTAATCAATAAAGTAAAGTAGTAAAATACAGTAACAAAATTGAAAGTAAACATCCCAATAAATTCCAGAGCACACTCACCTCACCACAATACGACTCGCCGAACCAGTCTTCGCCTGTGGATCCGGTCGTGGAAGAGCTGCATCCGGTCCGTACTTTAAAGCCGAAAACTATAATATCTTTTAGGTTGTGGTTAAAAATGCTTTGAAATATTGCAATTACGATGAAATTGTGCAATAAAAACGATAATAAAATTTCTAGGCCTCCGAACCTGCCACGGTATCGACCTCTCATTCGAGCGGAAACACGGTGTTGAGTCGCCCAGATCCGGAACCGTCGCCATTGATTCGGCGGGCCGTTTGCATGGACGAATCGGTAGATGGGCAAGCCGACGATGAATTTTCGGATGAGCAGGATGGGAATAGGCTTCCAGGTAGGACTTTGAAAAAGGTGTTTGCTAGCTTGTCCCTGAGAGAGAGAGAGAGAGAGAGAGAGAGAGAGCGGAAAAGGGTGAGAGAGAATTCCAGAACTAATGTCCTGTTTCGACTCGGGCATTGCCGGCACCACCTCCACCCACTCGGACCTTAGCGCCTTCTGCAACTCACCAGCGGCCCAGGCGACCGAGAAGCTTCTCGAGCTGTCGATCATGGAGAACAGCATTTTCAAGTAAGAATTTTGCACCCTTCTAGACGTCTAAAACATTTTAAAGCCATCATCTTGAGCTCTAAATAGGTTTTTAAAAGATCTTTGGCGTTATCGGGGGGGGGGGGGGTTCAATTCTATTCCAACCAGCCGCTTACAGCGGCTTTGCCGCTGCAAGCGGCTGGACTTCGGGCTACCCCTTCCGCTCCCTCCCCCCTCCCTTTGTGATGGCCTTAGATACTTTAAAGGATTTAAATAATGAATTAAGATAATTAAAAAGTATTAAAACAACTGAAAAAAGCGATCTGGGCGCGGGAAGGGGCCTGGGGAAGAGGAGCGAAGAGAAAGGGGGCGTGGCCTCCCGGGGAGAGGGCCCCCACTCGTTTTATTAAGGCGCCACTTTCAAAGTTAATTATTTTTATTTAAACAAAAACTTTTTCATAATTTTTTGCTCATTTAAGGGGTTTCTGACTACGCTCTATCCAAATCCGAAGAGACCTAAGCTCTACCTCCTTTCCCCTTCGAGTTATAGTTGGCTTCGGACAGACGGACAGACACCACTACTGAATTCTTATAGTTGATTTTTCAAATATAAATGGTGAAAGTGTTCTTAAACTATTTTTTTACTTTCCTAAACGTCAAGACCTTACAATTTTTTTGTTATAAAATATCAAAAATAGGGATTTTTCGATAAAAAACGGCATTTTTACCAAAATTTCGACTTTTTCAAAAAATTTTAAAGCTTTTAAATAGTTTTTCTAGTGGAAAAGTAGTTATATTTTTACTGTAAAAACTGTTAAAACATTTCCTATTAACTTACTAGGCGGTTCTAGACTTCTACAAAAAAATCGCGCCCCCCGATAGTGCGGAAGAAAGTTTTTACATTGTTAAAAATTGAATTTTTAGCAGATTTAAAATTAAAAAAACTTTGATGCCAAATTGTATGTAAAATTGACAATTCCCACGATTCAGAAAGCGATATTCGACCGACGGGGAGGAGTCCGAGGTACACCTTGACCCGCCCGACGACCAGCCCTCCGACGAGAGCTTCATCGCCAAGTTCGTGCTCGCCGAGCAGATTTGCAGGTGCGGATCACTTTGGCGCATCCGATTACGCAACGGAAATGCCAGAAAATCGATAAACAGACCTTGTCGCTTCCCCTAATAATTTAATCATTTTAGCACTCAACTCCCCTCAAATCCGCTGATTGTCAAAATTACGTGCGTGCCGGATCGGAGGTACTTTGAAAAATGGGGCTAATTTAAATAATATTAAGCAAAATATACCTTAAATAATGCTAAAATTGGTGTTACATAAAAAAATAAATGAAATATAAAAGGAAAGTAAATAAAAATTAGAAGCCATTTTTATTTCTTTTAATTTTGAGATCTATTTAA